CCAGCCAAGGAAGAGATTAATGAAGAACTTCGCCAGGCACAGGCTCAGCCTTGAATGCCAGCGGGACAAGCAGTAACTGGGGGACAAGGGACCTCTCCCAGGAAGCCCGAGAACACAACGGCAGAGGCTGAGGACACAGGCACTTCTCTGCCTCTACTAGGTAGAGTTAATCTCACTCCTCCCGCCAGCGCCTGGACCGTAGTTAAAGGAGAGGAGTATGACGTGGGGAGGAGGTCATAGATTTTTTTTTTTAAGAGATTGAGAGTTTTCTCAAGGCGCCCTCTGCATTATCCTAATGGTGTAAACACCTCCCCTAGCCAGCAGCTGGGAGCTCAGGAGAAAAACCATATTAATTACAGACAAAACAAAGAACCTGATTTTTTCTGGGCATACCTGAGTTTGTAGGGTGAGTAAGTTTTGTCACCCCGTGGCATTTACGTCATCACTGACTCCAGGGCTTGGTGGGCCTGAGATGACTACCAACCTGGGAGAATATATTTTCAGAGTTCCTAGATGGAGTTCCTGTGCAGTGTTCTGTCCAACCTGGGGATCCATCTCTGCCAAATATTCACATTCTGCAAGGGAGGATTCCTGAACTTTGCGGGGCTACTCAGGTTTATACCCTTATTGCCCAGCTAGCGGGTCATTGAGAAAGGGGTGGGTCTGGCAAGCTGCCGGATGCTGCTGTAATATTCCAGCAATAAATGAACTTTACACTGCATTTTGATTCGGGCTTATCTTGATTCCAGTGTATCCATTTGTACCACAGATATTTATCTAACGTTCACTGAGCACCAAGCACAGTTCCTCTTCTCAAAAACATACCTTCATCTAGTGGGCAATACAGACACAGAAACAAGCATTTCAGCTCTGCATCACTGAAGTACGTGCTTCGAATATGATGAAGGGGTCATCCTATCACAAGAGGGTGCTGGCCCAGGCGGTCTGCATCTCCAGTCCCCCTTTATGGTGGCCACGCACATGTGCTGCTCGTATCTCCTGCAGTGGGAGAATCATGACAGAGGCCCCTGGGGCTGTGATGCCCACTTCGAGTCCACACTTCCATGGCTGCCCCTGGGCAATGGTGGAGCACTGTGGGGTACTGAGGCGGCCCATCCTGCTGAGACATGCGACTGTGCCAACAGGTGATTTGGCCCAAGGATGCTCCCATCAGCTTGGTTGAACTTTTCTTGAAACTGTGTTGTGGTTTGAGACTCTCCCTGCCCGGTCTTTCTTCCTTCCAGGGTCGACTCAAGGGACATGCCTGTAAGAAGAGTCAGTACACTTGGGGAAGCCCAGAGCATGGAGTCCCCATAATAGTTATGGGCCACTCAGAGCTCCTTCCAGTCCAGATGTGGTTGATCAGTTAGGCGCCATGTTTTCTTACCGTTATCAAGTTGCCAAGGGGAACAGAGCTAGAAAGTTTGACTGAAGGTCAAATTCTCATGCAGAGGGAGAAGGGGTTTTGTTAATCCTTTCTCACACTGACCCTATCAGAAATAACTTTTCACACACCAGCTTACTCACTGATTAGGCTAGCTGACCTGATCGCATCTTAATTGCACTACCTTCTGCTGCTGAGAGCCCAACAACTTGGTATGTCTCACTCTGATGAGTCTATTACTTCCTAGTGCCGGGTGTCCCCTATAATCTAGCGTCAGGGCCTGCCTAGATTCAGAAGGAGAGAAGAGATTTAGGATGAGCACAAAGCTGGTTCCTATGAGGTGGAGTTCAGACATACCTCCACTCTCCAACTTCACCATTTCTGATACCAGCCATACCTCCCACGGCACTCTCTACTTGTCTGCTGGGTTCAATATGCATTACAATGACCACACAAAACTCAGACCATACTCACGATTATGTGGTTTGTTAGGGAGTAACAGGCTACAACTCAGGATAAGGATCAACTTGGAAGTAACAGGATACAACTCAAGAGACAGCATCAACTTTGTCAATCAGGAGAGCTTCCAACCAGGACAGCCTTCAGCTCCTTCTCGGCTGTGCCAGCTGGCGACCCTTCTCTTGGCCGTGCCCACAGGCCAGGCCTTTCTCTTGACCTCAGTGCTGCTTGGGCAAGTGTTAACAGCTCTTTAGCTCTACCAGCAAGCCTCCTGCCCAAAGGTGCTCAACTCTCTCTCCCCATGGGCTGGCAAGGCCACTGTGTTGTCTTGTACTGGTCTCCTGGTTCCCGCTGCTCATGCTGCTGCCACCGGGCTCTGCCATGCCTGCTGTTGTTTCTTGCCATCTTATGCTGCCTTCGGTGTTACAGCTCTCTCTTCTGGGTGTAGGAAGTTCTCAGCACAGGGACCATGGGTCCAAATGATGTGCTCTGCTCCAGGAGGTAGGGAGGTCCCCCTCAATCTCTGTGGGATTAGCCCTTATTTTCAGTTTCAAAACATTGCCCTCCCAGTTGCCACAAGTTCATTTAATCTTTATTGAGTGGTTTTATGCACCCTATTAGAACAAGTCCTGGAGAGCCAAAGTATGATCTTGAGTATATCCCACCTGAATTTAGAGACCATCTCAAGAATAGATTTGACACATTGACCACTAATGATTGAAGACCAGATGTGGAATGACATAAAGGACATCATACACGAAGAAAACAAGAGGTCATTAAAAAGACAGGAAAAAAGACCAAATCAAGAAGAGACATGGAAATTTGCTCTTGAATGTAGAGTAGCTAAAGTGAAAGGAAGAAATGATGAAGTAAAAGAACTGAACAGAAGATTTCAAAGGTCAGCTCAAGTAGATGAAGTATTATAATGACATGTGCAAAGATGTAGAATTAGAAAACCAAAAGGGAAGAACATGTTCGGCATTTCTCAAGCTGAAAGAACTGAAGAAAAAATTCAAGCCCTGAGTTGCAATATTGAAGGATTCTATGAGGAGAATACTAAATGATTAAGGAAGCATCAAAAGAAGATGAATACACAGAGTCACTGTACCAGAAAGAATTGGTTGACATTCAGCCATTTCAGGAGGTAGCATATGATTAGGAACCGATGGTACTGAAGGAAGAGGTCCAAGCTGCGCTGAAGGCATAGTCGAAAAACAAGCCTCGAGGAATTGATGGAATACCGATTGAGATATTTCAGCAAACAGATGCAGCAGTGAAAGTGCTCACTCATCTATGCCAAGAAGCTTGGAAGACAGCTACCTGGCCAGCTGATGGAAAGAGATCCATATTTGTACTCATTTCAAAGAAAGGTGATCCAACAGAATGTGGAAATTATAGAACAATATCATTAATATCACACCTAAGTAAAATTTTGCTGAAGATCATTCAAAAGTGGTTGTAGCGGTAGATTGACAGGGAACTGCCAGAAATTCAAGTCAGATTCAGAAGAGGGTGTGGAACCAGGGATATCATTGCTGATGTCAGATGGATCCTGGCTAAAAGCAGAGAATACCAGAAAGATGTTTACCTGTGTTTTATTGACTGTGCAAAGGCATTCAACTGTGTGGATCATAACAAATTATGGGTAACATTGTGAAGAATGGGAATTCCAGAACACTTAATTGTGCTCATGAGGAACCTGTACTTAGACCAAGAGGCAGTCGTTTGAACAGAACAGGGGCGTGCTGTGTGGTTTAAAGTCAGGAAGGGTGTGCATCAGGGTTGTATCCTTTCACCATATTTATTCGATCTGTATGCTGAGCACGTAATCTGAGAAGCTGGCCTATATGAAGAAGAACGGGGCATCAGGATTGGAGGAAGACTCATTAACAATCTTTGTTATGCAGATGACACAACCTTTCTTGCTGTAAATGAAGAGGACTTGAAACATTTATTGATAAAGAGCAAAGACCACAGCCTTCGGTAAGGATTACACCTCAACATAAAGAAAACAGAAATCCTCACAACTGGACCAATAAGCAACATCAGGATAAATGGAGAAAAGATTGAAGTTGTCAAGGATTTCATTTTACTTGAATCCACAATCAACGCCCATGGAAGCAGCAGTCGGGAAATCAAAATACACATTGCATTGGGCAAGTCTGCTGCAAAAGACCTCTTTAAAGTGTTACAAAGCAAAGATGTCACCTTGAAGACTAAGGTACACTTGAACCCAAGCCATGGTGTTTTCAGTCACCTGATATGCATGTAAAAACTGGACAATGAATAAGAACACCGAAGAAGAATTGATGCCTTTGAATTATGGTGTTGGTGAAGAATATTGACTATACCAGGGACTGCCAGAAAAACAAACAAGTCTGTCTTGGAAGAAGTACAGCTAGGATGCTCCTTAGAAGTGAGGATGGCGAGACTTTGTCTCACATACTTTGAACATGTTATCAGGAGAGATCAATCCCTGGAGAAGGACATTATACTTCGTAGAGTAGAGTGTCAGTGAAAAAAAGGAAGACCCTCGACAAGATGGATTGACACAGTGGCTGCAACAATAGGCTCAAGCATAACAATGATTGTGAGGATGGAGCAGAACTGGGCAGTGTTTTGTTCTGTTGTACATGGGGTCTCTATGAGTAGGAACCAACTCGACAGCACCTAACAACAACAACATGACAGAAACAAATGGCATGGCTGCCATTTATTTTCCAAACATTTTAAACAGAACACAGAAAATGATTTTGACACTGAGTATGGTGGCTCTTCTCCCGTGCATGTCCCTTGACTCGACCCTGGAAGGAAGAAGGATTGGGCAGGGAGAGTCTTGAAGGAAGGCAGAGTGATGGGATCCTCATGAGATGTGGGGTTAATTGGGAAAGGCTTTCTGGAGGGAGTGTGAGACCCTTGAACTCCATGTATTAGATGATTGTAAACCACTGTTGTGCTACGGGATGAGGAAGTCATGTTGGCACGGTGAGAATGACAGTTGTAGAAGGTGGCTGCAGAGGGACAGGTCAGGGGAGAGAGCAGCTGGTCTCTGACAGGCTATGGGTGTGTGGGTAGGTGGGTGATAGGAGTGAGGCGTGGGATTTCCACCACAGTCTGGGGTTGCCATGGAGACAAGCGCAGAGGCAGTGCTGGACTGGAGCTGTCTAATGTAGAGTTGAAGCCCTTGGAGCCTGCTGTGCCTCCTCCCTTGAGCCCTCCTGCTCTTGGAGGTTCACTGAGGCTTGCTTTAGTTGGGCATGTCTAAGGAAAACAGGATGTGAAGGAAGAAGTGGTAATGTGATCCTTGGGAGATTTGCATCCCAGCAAGAGCAGCTGGTTCCAGGCCCAGTAATGGCTCATTTGTCATGCTGAGGAAAATTTAAAAAGGAGACTCCTTCCCGGCCAGACACTGCTGCCTACTTTTCCATTTCGGTGAATCTCTTGCTCCCACCATCAGCACCACAACTACGGAGGCTTCGGTGTGAGAAGATGGTTCCAATCTTCTTTTTCTCTGCTGTTATTGTCTCGGTAGTTTTGGATTTTGTGGGACTCATCTTGAGTCTGTTCATCGCGGTGGTCAGTTACAAGACTTGGGTCACGAGGCACAGCCTCTCCTCTTCCGATAGGATCCTGTTCAGCTTGGCCATCTCCCGACTTCTTATGCTGGGACTCGTTCTACTGTACGTGACCATCTTCTTCGTCACCCTGAATACTGAAAGGTCAGTTTGTTTGTCCGCTTTTTTCCTGTTGTCTTGGATGTTTTTGAACTCTAGCAGTCTCTGGTTTGTAACCTTGCTCAACACCTTGTACTGCGTGAAGATCGCTAACTTCCAACACTCAGTGTTTCTCCTGCTGAAGCGCCATCTGTCCCCAAAGGTCCCCAGGCTGCTGCTGGCCTGCATCCTGACTGCTGCCCTCACCACGATCCTATTCTTTGTGCTCAGCCAGACATCACCCTTTCCTGAGCATGGGACCAGTAGGAACAGCACAGTATTTGATATCAGTGAGGGCATCTTGTCTTTGGTGACCTTGTTGCTCCTGGGCTCTTTTCCCCAGTTCATTGTAAATGTGACTTCTGCTTCCTTGTTAATATATTCCTTGCAGAGACATATCCAGAAGATGCAGAGGAATGTCACCGGCTTTTGGAACCCCCAGACAGAAGCTCACATGGGGGCCGTGAAGCTGATGATCTACTTCCTCATCCTCTACATCCCGTATTCAGTTGCTACCCTGGTCCATTACCTCCCTTCTTCTACAGGGATGAGTTTGTCAGCCAAAGCTGCTTGTGTGATGATTTCTGTCCTCTACACCACAGGGCATTCTGTCCTCCTTATTCACACACATCCCAAACTGAAAACAAAAGCAAAGCAGATTCTTTGTTTCAACAAACAGTGACATTTCAGTAGGAAACAGTGGCTGGAGTTCCCCAGTGGCATTTCAGTAGGAAACAGTGGCTGGAGTCCCCCGTGGTGACTCCATGGCTTCCAGGCGCCAGGTTTCTCTGTTAGCTTTCCCAGTGGCCTGAGGAATGTGTGTTTGTAATTGCTGATCCAATATCCCAGGCCTTCCAGTGCACACATTTCAGTTTGTTCTGCTTTTTTTCCCTCCCATATTTTAAAATTAGGCACTTTTTCTAGGGGACTTGTGGAACGTATTACTTAACATGTGTTTTGCATAGGCATTACATCTCTAAATATTGGAAATTGTCACATTGTTCCATTGGCTACTTAAGTACAATGGGAAGTTCCCCCAAATCTAGCAATACTTGTAGTGCACGTTGTCAGTTAAATTTGGTGGTTTAGCTGAGGAGTCTGTGTGGTATCGACAACGGGTAAGTGGTCACCGAGAGCACTTGTTGTTAGCTGCCTTCGAGCCAGCCCCCGTCTCATGGTCCCACGCCCAGCAGAATGATACTCCGCCCAGTCCTGTGCCATAGGCTTTTCATTGGCTGAGTTTTGGAAGTAGATTTCTAATCCTTTCTAGGCTCTCTTAGTCTGGAAGCTCTGCTGAGACCTGTTCAGATCTTAGCAACATACAGTCCTCCACTGACAGATGGGTGGTGGCTGTGCCTGAGGTGCATTAGCGGGGAATTGAGTCTGGGTCTCCCACGTGGAAGGCGAGAATTCTACCACTGAACCACCAGTGCCCTCCACTGGCTTAAAGCACAGGCAAGAGGGTGCCAAGAGAGAAGGAAAAAAGGCTTCAGGGTGAAAATGGAGGGAAGAGAAAGGTGCAAGGAAATGGGTGTACTTGTGGGATGAGAAGGGAATAGGGCCCTCACACTTGCCAGTGACTGTAACTGAGCTATTACCTGTTACCACCCAGACACACTAGGCGTGGACCTCCAGGCTTGTTCTGGAAAGGAGAGAAAGGCCAGAGTTGAAATGTGCAGAGAAGCACTCGCGTAGTAAAGAAGCCCAATCCAGGACAGCTCTAACCAACCGAACCCGTTGTTGTCGAGTCGATTCTGACTCATAAGCGACCCTATAGGACAGAGTAGAACTGCCCCACAGAGTTTCCAAGGAGCGCCTGGTGGACATGAACTGCTGTCCTTTTGGTAGAAGCCGTAGCTCTAAACCACTGTGCCACCAGGGTTTCCAGGACAGCTCCAAGGACCTTAAAATCCAGGAAGTTCTCCCAGTGCCCAATGCAGGCCCAAGGAGTGAATTAACATGGCCTGAGGGTACATTTGCACACTATTGCCACTCACTGTGTCACCTGGGATACACTGGAAAGCCAAGAGGAGCCATTGGCCTGGCTGTGTGAGAGCTGACGGGGTGGATTCACATTGTCCACTGATGAGTCTATGCATGGAGGTATATGGCCTTGCACAGAGTTCCAGGGGCAGGCTGTTTCTGGGGCTAGGACAGCTGGGCAGGGGCCACAGAGGGCCAGGAATTTGAAGATGGGATGTGGACAGGCTTTGGAATGGGGATTTGGAATAATAACTTATATTTGTATAGCTTTTTGGTGTTTCTAAAATACCTATGTAATATTTACACGTCTCAAAATAAATACCTTGTTAAAACAATATCTTTTTAGTAAAGGAGGGGGACCAGAATTCTCCAGATTATCCAAATGACTTGACTATTCCTACTCTGGCCACTAGAATCTTGACAATATTCAGTCACGTCACCAAAATCAATATTTTATGCTACAAAACCCAGACGTATTCACCATACGAGAATTTTAAGATTAGGAGTAAAGGGTCACTGAGAGTGATTAAATGTGCCCCATGAAATAAGAGCTCTGAGTGAGTGGCAGGAACCCTCGCGGACTGCAGCATCCATTCTCTTTCCCTCCTCTTCCGTAGTAAGGGACTTTCTAGCTGCCCCAGGTTCTGGTCCTTATCACACAGCTTCCTCATCATGGAGTGAGCAGAGGTGATGGGTGTAGGTGCGAGGTGCTGTCCTGCATGTTGTTCCCGTGGGCTGGGATGCCCTCTCAGACCACACAGATGAGGCAACTGCCTGGGGGAGTGGAGCAGCTATCTGTACTGGGTTTGTCTCTGTGGTCCCTGACCCATGGTGCTGCCACCCCAGCCATGCACCTCTTCCGCCTGTCCTCCAGGACTGCTTATCAGAAATAAGTTGAGGGTCTCTGTTGCGTTTGTTAAATAATTTATGTTCTACCGTAAATAGCCATAACGATCTGTATGTTTGTGATGGAATCATATGTAGTTGTTGACAATCTTGTAGTCAAAGAACATTTTTAAATGACCTGGGAAAATGCTTATAATATACAGCTAAGTGAAATCAAAATAAAAACGTGCATATGCAGTATGATGCCAACTTTGGTAAAAATATGTATATATAAATAAAAAAATCTAGAAGGAAATTTATTCAAAAATGCAAAACAGCAATTATTTTTAGGTGGGAAATTTTGAGTAATTTTTTTTACATTTTTCACATTTTCTATGATGAAAATGTATTTCTTTTGTAATTGGAAAAAACACATACTTTAAAATATATATACTGTATACATTCTATCCATCTGTCCATCTGTCCATCCATCCATCCATCCGTCCGTCCATCCATCCATCCATCCATCCATCCACCTACCTACCTACCTACCTACCTACCTACCTCCTTACTTACCTACCCATCTACCCATCCATCCACCCACCCACCCATCCATCCATCCATCCATGTACATAAAGGATATACAAAGGGTTTCTGATGTCAACATCCAGTTTCTGCTCACTAAGGCTAAGGGAATAATCTAGTTTGTCTGGATTCTTTTTCTTGTGTTGGCTGAGTTCTGCTAGCTCATTTCTTGGTTATCTGACGTTGTTTTCATTTCCCCCGCCTGGGCTGGACGTACTGTTTGTCTAGGACTTGTATTAGGACTGTTTTGCTCTTTGAAGACAGCCTTGGGTCTGCTGAGGCACTTGTCCAGAGTCCACTGTGGGTGCAGGTTTTAGCAGTGCTTAGGACTTGGCGGGTCACTGGTCCCAGTATGCTCAGCTAACTTCCTGCCACTAAGCAGTAATGGGCCAGGAATTAGAAATGTTTCTTTTATTTATTTTCTGAAGACACGATGGCTCACAGGTTCTCAAGTGCCATATCCTGTGTTTCCCGCTGTTTTCTGCCTATGGCAGGAAAGGGGATAGTGATGGACATCTTTGCTGAGAAGAATCTCTCTCAGAAGAGAAGGGCGGTGCCAGGACCCTGTGGGCCCATTGTCATGAGTCACCCACTGTGGGAGCTGTAACTCGGGGCATCACCTCTTACCTTTTAGGTGCCATAAGCCCACTATTGTGTGAGCTATATTTTCACATGCTATTTTATGGGTTCCTCATAGCTTCTTTGGTAATGTAGGTATTATTATGCCCATTATACAGATGAGAAAATTGAGTCACGAGCAGGTCAAGTAAATGGCTCCTAACAGTAAAACTAGGTAGTTCCAGGCCTCCAATTCTGATCTTTTGACTCTAACATCCAGTTCTTTTCCAAGTTGGGTGGAAAGAGGGACAGAGTAGAGTCACGCTTTATTTTCTAGGACAAGAAGCAGAAGGGATATGTCCAGCCTGAAAACTTACCCATGGCTGAAGCAGATAGAGAAATGGAGAGCAGAGAGAGAGAGGGAAGATAGAGATGGAGAGGAGACAGAGAGAAAGAGACAGACACTGGGCATCTTGTGGGCATTTAGTTCCTTAGCTGATGGAAGTATCATGTAGAGACTGGGATTTTAGGCCCTGAACCTTACATGAGACATATTTCTAAGCCAAAAACAGTAACCTTAAAGAAGAAACCATTGAAAAATTGCCTTGAATGCGACTTCTTGGGAAGGAATAGGCTGATAGAAACGTGATGGGAAGTAGTTCAATTTCTGTGAGAACTCAGTGGAATTCTTAGTAACTTCAGAAGTGTCTTTATATTGCCTAATTGTCACGTGAATGTACATGACTAGATCCATGTCTGTCCGAGTCCAGAAAATATTACAGAATAAGCAAGAATGGGAAAATGGACAAGCGTGCTGCCACAGTCGTGTCTGCCTGAGTCCAAAGGCCATTACAGAGTCATCAGTATATATTATTACAAATGCGCAAAACCACTGAAAGCTTTGCCTTTTCACAGATTGGCTGGAAACTGTGATCCTACATTTTGAATTGTCTTTCTTAACAATCATTGGTACAGGTTTCAGTAACGACAGTCAGGAGGGTCTTCATTGGTCCAAGAAATCTCCCTTTACTAAATGCTGATAGAAAAAGACAAGAGTGGAAAGTCTTTTGTGTTTTGTTTGACTGGTTTTATGTGAAAGGCTCCCTAAAAGATATTTTCCTTCCCTAAAAGATAATTTCTAAGATTGTCCCATCTATTTTCTTTATCTCAGGGGCCAGTTGATGTGTCCTTGTGAGCCCAGCTCTAGCTGGGTCACATTCTCTATGCTCAAAGAGAGGAAATAAATGATTCCAACATTATTTCCTAAATCAAAGGTAATTTTGAAGAGCACCTCAAATGCCACCTTCTCCAGGTGAAAGGGAAGTTCACCGAAGGTGTTCGAAGGAAGCCTCTCAAGAGTGTTCTTTTTGACGTGTGGAAGCTGGAGCGAGGCTCCCTGGTCTGGCCCCCTGGTTCTCACCGGGCTGGAGTGAGGAGCTTGTCAGAGTCTCTGGGATGCCTTTCTAACTGTGCCAGGCCTCCTAGGCCTCCTGGGGGTGTGTGGGTATTGGGGGTGGGGGAGGCAGAGAGGGGAGTGGTAGTTTGACCACACTCCCAGAGATTAGGATACCGTGGTCTGAGGAGAGGCAGAGATAGAATTTTCTCCCCTAAGAGGACGCCCTGTGACCAATTGAATAAAACTGAGAAAAATGGGTGAAAGGAGACCACCCAGATGTGAGAGAATTTGCCTGGTGGTGTGGAGTTAACAACCAGGAAGGGACAGGAGTTAATGGGGGCAGGTAGGTGGGGAGGAGAAGACCATGGAGGGTGGTGAGGAAGATATGAGGAAGGGCCCAGTCCGCACCCTCTGTGAGCCTGGTGGTGGAGTGTGAGGTCAGAGCTCTGGATTATGTGGGTACCTAGGGTCTGAGAGGAGTCCTAGTGGCGCAGTGGTTAAGCACTCGGCTGCTAACGAAAAGGCCAGCAGTTCAAATCCACCAGCTGCTCCTTGGAAACCCTATGGGTTCTACGCTGTCCTGTAGGGTTGCGATGAGTTGGAATCGACTTGAGGGCAGTGGATTTGGTTTTGATTTAGAGTCTGGGAAAGTGGTGGCTGTAACTCTGCCGAGGGTCTCGAGGGAGCAGTGAGAGGCCGGGAAGTGGCTGCGCGTGGGTACGGCTTGGTTGCGGGGGAGGTGTTTGGTAATGTCTCTGACCTGTTTCAAATACAGGAAAACTGTTTGTCTCAACTTTGGTGCTCTCACAGTTGGAACAGTGACTGGTCAGAGTGGTTACCCGAGATCCTGGTACCTCAGGGGAGGAGACAGTTAAGTCTGTTGCTGTCACGCAGAGCTGACTCTAGGTCTCTGACTTGTGTGTGTTAAGGCCGGGCAGTCGGTCTCTGGCTCTGTTCTTGCCTCCAGAGGCTCTGGAATTGTGCAGAGCCAGCAGCCTTTCTGCAGCAGCCGTAACCCCATCTGTCCTGGATTTGCCTCTGTGAGTAATAACCGGCCTCGGGTGTGCTCCTAGTTACCGAAGGAGCAACTAGGGACAGAAATCACCAAGCGAGGAGAGGAAAATTGCTTTAGCTAATACTGTTTGCTGGACACCAGGCACAGTGGCTTCTCATGTTCCTTGCAATAGCCCTGTGGGGTCTGCACCATCGCTATCATTTTGATAGAGAGGAAAGTGAGGCCCAGAGGGGTAATTGGCTTGCCTGAGGGCCCAGCTACCACCTGGCTGAGTGGGACTGCAAACCCCAGTGTGTCGGACTCTCCTTGTACGAAGCTTAATTACAAGGGCCCTGTCATCTGAGGGCTGGGACCGCTCTGCTCTGAGGGGCAGACAGCCAGTCCAGAGGACCCTGTTATCTGTACTGCTTGACTCTTGGCTTAGCATGATTTTACATGTGCTTTTCTGGAAAAACACAATTCCCGAATTGTTAAAAACATAATTCTCATAGAAATACTGAGTTTTACTTAACTTTTTTAAAAATAAAGTTTTAATTTTTATTTTATTTTTCAGAAAAGTTGCAAAGAGAGTCTGGTTGTTATTGTTGTTTTTGTTAGGTGCTGTTGAGTGGGTTCCAACTCACAGTGACCCCACATACAACGGGATGACATGCCGCCCGGTCCAGCGCCATGCTCACAATCGTTGTTACGCTGGAGCCCATTGTTGCAGCCACTGTGTCAGTCCGTCTCATTGAGGGTCTTCTTGTTTTTCTCTGACCCTCTACTTTACCAAGCATGATGTCCTTCTCCAGGCACTGCTCCCTCCTGACAACATGTCTAAAGTTTGTGAGATGTAGTCTCGCCATCCTTGCCTCTAAGGAGCATTCTGGCTGTACTTTTTCTAAGATAGATTTGTTTGTTCTTTGGCAGTCCATGGAATATTCAGTATTCTTCACCAACACCACAATTCAAAGGCATCTGGAGAGTTCTCATATTCCACATCCCCCCCCACTGCAGTTGCCCCTAATGTTAACATTTTACATAACCACAGGACATTTGTCAAAACTAAGGAATTAATATTGGTGCCAAAGAGGCAGGCGATCCTTGTAGCTGACCCCGTGGGCAAGAGCCCCCTCTTGATAAGGTGGTGGGGCAGGAGCTGGAAAGATGGTGAAGATGTGCACATTTCTAGCGTTTGCTTCTGTTACACATTATTTCAGAATGACAGCCGTGTTCCACTTCTCCCTGTCAGAGGAGACATAGTGTACTGCCGGAGAAGACTGGACTGTTTGCTTGGTCTGTGCCACGTCTGCCTGTCTGGACCAGTGTAGCTCGTTCGGGGAAGAGTTTGCTCCTGGTACCAGTTGTTTTGGAAGCGTTGCTGGGCATCTCCTAGTGGCGGGGTAGGCGCATTCCGGAAGTGGGATAAAGGCTGCCTTATGTAGGAACAGGGAGGCTAGTGACTATGCTCAGGTGGGAGCAAGACTGGAGCTAGCCTGCTAGCCTCCGTCTGGCCACTGGGGGTGTTTATTGGCTGAAAGTGTCACTTTTAGTGTCACTGAAACCAGCACTTGTTCTTCATTTCTTCCTTTCTAGAGTCTTGTTCTCTCCAGATAGACTGCTCTGTTGGTGCTGGGCAGGGGCCACAACCTGTCCCCTGGGTGGCGGGGGGGGTGAGGGGGCGTCTCTCCTGGGCCTCTGTCCTTGGTTCAGTGCTGTGGACCTGGAGTACAGGATTGGAAGGGACTCTGGATAACTGCCAACAGTGAGGTTAATTTACCATGAAATTAAGTAAAATTAATTAAAACTTGTATTCTCACTTCTCTGATTTAAAAATAAAATTAGAGGGGAACATGGAAAACAGGACAGATACCAGAGCTGTGGCTTTGCCGCGATGCAAAGTGCATCATTTTAATGACTCCAGAAGTCAAAGCTGGCCAGTCGTGTTTTACATGGGAAGTATCCCATTTTCCCCCATTACTGCAGACCATCCAGTTTTCTTTGTCCACGCACACTGTCTCCCCCGATAAGGGAGAGTAGAAAATAGCTACCATTTTAAAACAGTGTATGTCTTAAAGATGAGCCTGTACATGGACTGTCAGATATTGTTTTAGGCAAGCATTTTTCCTTAGTGGAATTATCCAAATAGTTAGCTCAGTCCTCCACGTGGTTTAGCCTTTCTTAACACTATTAGCAAAGTAGTCTTTTAAACCCGTCTTGATATTTCTGGAAATGTTTTTGTGAGGCTTTCTGGATACACATCAGTGGGCTGTCGTGGCCTCTGTGAGGTCTGTGGGAAGAGTGGGCCAGAGGGACTCCACTCATGGGTGGGCCACGCCTACCCAGTACCTCGGGCCAGTGGACCAAGGAGCCTCTTCCCCCAGCTTTCTGCAGCCTCTGCCAGGGCTGCAGGACGCCACCTTAGGCAGGATGGACATGGTACAGAAAGAACACGTGGGAAGCAGGGACTGCGTACTGTTCCCTGCTGTGTCCCTGTGTGCCCTGCCCGGCACATCACAAGCACGCTCAACTCCCCTCTGAGTGGATGGTGGTCTGTCCTACAATCCCACTGCATCACTAATAGCGTGGCTGGGGCTGACAGTGACTGCACAGTGCTGGGCCCAAGCCCGGTCTCCCCACTCCGGCACCCCACTCTTTCCTCCACCCTCTGGCCGTCCTCGTTCTCCTCATTTCCTCGTAGACATCTCCAGCCTGCTCTGAACACTGTAGGAGTTTCCTGTGTGCTGAGTAGCCACACAAGGTAGCAGCTCAAAACAGCACGCTTTTATCGTCACAGTGGTCGTGGGCAGGAGTCTGATGCAGTGTAGCCGGGTCCTGTCCGCAGGCCCTCTCAGGCTGTAGACAGGGTGCTCGCCAGGCTGAGCGCCTCTTCCAAGCTCCTCTTCCAAGCTCACGTGGTTGTTGGCAGATTTCAGGTCCTTGTGGTTATAGGACTGAGATCCCCTTTGCTTGCTGGCTGTCAGCTGGGGGCCACTCTGAGCCCCTACAGGCCACCCTAGTTCGGGCCATGTGGTCCCCTCACAGCCCCCTCACTATGTGTCAGCTGAATTCTCCAAGTCCAGCAGAAGAATCTCACCCTTCTGTATGGCCCAGGACCTCTTTCAAGACTTTTCACTGATTTAGGCTGGCCCACCAGGAAACCCTCCTTTTTGATTAACTGGTAATCAACCCATTTGAGACCTTGGTTACACCCACAAGAGCCCTGCACCATTGCCATCTAATCTCCCCTCATCACAGAAACGCCATCCAACCGATCCACAGTCACCAAGACTGACTCAGGGTTTGCCCACCACAGTGGGAGTCCTGGAGCCAACTTAGCATCCAGCCTGCCACTGCATTGGACACATCTGCTGCAAAAGACCTCTTTAAAGTGTTAAAAAGCAAAGATGTCACTTTAAGGACTAAAGTGCATCTGACCCAGCCCATGGTGTTTTCAGTTGCCTCATATGCATGTGAAAGCTGGACGATGAATAAGGAATACTGAAGAATTGACACCTTTGGATTGGTGTTGGTGAAGAATATTGAATATACCACGGACTGCCAAAAGAAGGAACAAATCTGTGTTGGAAGAAGTACAGCCAGAATGCTCCTTAGAAGCAAGGATGGTGAGACTTTGTCTCACATACTTTGGACATGTTATCAGGAGAGACCAGTCCCTGGAGAAGGACATCATGCTTGGTAAAGCAGAGGGTCAGCAAAAAAGAGGGAGAGGGTCAGCAAAAAAGAGGGAGACTGTCAACAAGATGGACTGACACAGAGGCTGGAACAATGGGCTCAAGCCTAACAGCAATTGTGAAGATGGCGCAGGACTGGGCAGTGTTTTGTTCTGTTGTACGTAGGGTTGCTATGAGTCGCAACCGACTTGATGGCACCTAATAGACAGAGTCGCAGGGGAGGTGGTGTCTGAAGAGCAAGAAGTGAGGTGCTTTCCCTACATTTCCTGATATCTCTGCTAGCCCTCTTCACTTCATGGAGCTCTTTTCCTTCCCTGAGACTTTGGTGAGATAGGTGCTCAGGGGAGCGTGGCTGGTCCTCAGGCAGAAAGGGCACATGGCCTGGAAGGCACTGCTGGCAGCGATGGCTCTGCCACTGACTCCTGTGTCTTTTCTTACCTGGCACTTCAATAGACTATATTTTGCTTCTCTGATTGTTTTCTCCCCCCCAAACTTCTCTTACTTCTCACTTTCATAATGAAATAAATCTTTTTCAAATTTCTGAGGTTATCTAGCTTTCATGCTTATGTGGCCAGTGTTCTTTTTATGAAAACAAAATCCCTTTTTTATAGCCCGTGGGCTCCTATGTGACGCCATAGAGAACTGAGGGTGTTTCCATGTGGTCTTTCTTGTTGTGTCATTGCTGTGTGTAGACCTTAGCCGTGACCCCTGAGGGGGAGCGTGTGTGGCCATGGCACTGTTCTCAGAGACTAGGCTCAGGACTCGCTGGTGTGGATGCAAATACAGAGGGGACGGTGCCTGCTGAGCACTCTCCTCTGGTCGCAGCTGTTCAGTCTCTGCCTGAGGACAGGCTACAGAGGACAAGGCCAGGGCCAGGGTTCATGGCGAGCGAGGTACCACCCCCAGGGTTCTGAACCACAGCTGGAGCTGTGACGCTCCTCAGCCCCATGCAGACTCCTCTCTGCCATGCTGACTGCGGCCCAAGGCCTGCTGATGGTGGTGGCCGTGGCCGAGTTTTTTGTGGGCCTGCTTGGGAACGGAGCCCTTGTGGTCTGGAGTCTTGGAGAGTGGGCCAGGAGAACCAGGCAGTCTTGCTACAGCTGCATCGTCCTGGGCCTGGCAGCCTGCCGGTTTGTCCTGCAGTGGCTGATCATGGCGGACCTCAGCCTGTTCTCGCTCTTCCAGGGCAGCCATTGGATCCGCTACCTCTGGGTGGCCTGGGCCCTGGTGAGCCAGGCCAGCCTGTGGTTCGCCACCTTCCTTAGTGCCTTCTACTGCCTGAAGATCACCACCTTCGAGCACCCCGCCTATGTGTGGCTGAAGCAGAGGGGCCCTATCGCCTGAACCTCTGCTGCCTCGGCTACTTCATCGTCACGCTGCTCCTCGTGGTCCACATTTCCCAACAGCCCCACGCTCCCTTCCAGTGGAACAGCAGCATTCTGCATCCCTTCTTAAGCCGGCATTATGCTTACACATTTGAGCTCAGTTCAGGAGGTTCTCTGCCTTTCTTGCTGTTTCTTCTGTACTCTGGGATGCTGATGGTCTCTTTGTACAGACACCATCGGAAGATGCAGGTCCACATGGCAGGCCGTTGGGACGCCCAGGCCCGAGCTCACATCAGGGCCCGGTGGTCCCTGGGCAGCTTCCTGGTTTTCCACATAGTGTACGTGCTGGCCAGCCTCTTCTCCATCCCCACCAAGTCCTTCCCCCACATCTTACCTCCATCATCTTCTCCGAGACCCTCATGGCTGCCTCCCCTTCCCTTCACTCTGCCGTCCTGGTCCTGGGCAACCCGAGGGTCAAGCAGCTTTGGCAGAGAATCCTGCAGAAGCTGGGGTGCACCTGCAGAGGCGGGGGCCCATGACCCAGGGGAGAGAGAGCTGCACGGGACACCCATGAGGCGTCATTGATAGTGCTCTGAAGGGAGCTGACTTTTTTGTGGTGTAAACTTGTCCTTATCTGACACTAATCTGGTGAATGAGCATCAGGAAGACAAACCGCAGCACCAAGTGCATTCTCTTAGCGGATCTCGGGAGTCAAGGCTGCTCTGTGTTTGTAAAAGAGGTGTTTAGTCTCTTTATATGTAGCAAATAATGCACGCAGTTTCCATATTACACGTGTAAGTATGTTTTTTCCACAGATTAGGAACGATGACTGTACCCAGATAAACAAACCTGTTGCTGCCGAGTCTGTTCTTACTCAGAGTAGAACTGCCCCACAGGGTTTCCAAGGAGCCGCTGGTGGATGCCAACTGCTGACCTTTTGGTCGGCAGCCGAGCTCTTAACCATCGTGCCACCAGGCTCCAATGACTATAAAAACTATACTTGTTGCTGTCGAGTTTATTTTGACTCATAGCGACCCAATAGGACAGAGTAGAACTGCCCCACAGGGTTTCCAAGGAGTCGCTGGTGGATTCCAACTGCTGACCTTTTGGTCAGCAGCCGAGCTCTTAACTACCCTGCCACCAGGCTCCAATGACTATAAAAACTATACTTGTTGCTGTCGAGTTGATTTTGACTCATAGTGACCCAATAGGACAGAGTAGAACTGTCCCATAGAGTTTCCAAGGAGCTGCTGGTGGATTTGAACTGCCGACCCTTTGGTTTGCAGCCAAGCTCTTAACTGCTGGGCACCAGGGCTCGATACAGTGAATATAGTGATCATTAATTTTTGTGAAGTTTCACCTCTCCATTAATGTTGGTCATTGGAGGCAAACTTTTTAAGAGAAGAACCATAAACTACTCTTTCATTTCTCTACTCTAGTGCTTGTGGCCTAGGTATCTAACTGAAAGACAAAGCAAACACTTTTCTATATTTATGGATGTCTCTCTGAGCCCAAGACTTGCCTTCAGGCTACATGCCCATTGGTTGCCATGGTCTTTGTGGGGCTCCCACAGGCAGGACCTGGAGCAGGGTAGGGTGGGGATGAGGGGCATTGGCTTTTGCTCTCGGGAAGAAGCCAGAAGAACACTGCTCCCCAGTAAGGTCAAGCCTTTTCCTTTGTGGTCAGTTATCTACCTGACCTGCCACTCCAGACTCTCTGCAGCCTGAGCTGAAGGAGGACCATCTAGAATGTCAATCCACGGACGCAGGATCTGGATGTTTTTGTCTTCTCTTATATCCCTGGCATTCACTGCCTGGCACATAATAAACACTTCATAAATATTTTCTAAATGACTGATTAGATGCACTAACTAGTCTTTTTTCCATGATTGACAAAGTGAGCTGGAGAGGGTAGGGCTGGCCCAGGGTGTCCTTGAAGCCAGTGGCCATGCTGGGACCAGACCAAGTGTCCTTCCTCTGGTCCAGTGCCCTTTCCTTGACATCGTGCCGCTGTCCTAAAGAACCAGCCTTGCCCCTCCCTCCCTGGAGTCCCTTCCCCTTCCCACCTACTTTCTCAGCCCCTTTTCAGCTTTGTGTGGACATATCTCCATTGATCCAACTCCAAGGGATCCGGCGTCCAGGGGACAACACTTGATGTACTTTCTTATGGGAGACCGTGTGAATCTACTTTTATCTGCCTTTTTCTCTCACCATCTCCCCTCACCCAGAAAGATGGATGGAGGTACACAGGGCACATGTGCACATGGCTATCATCTGGGGCACTGGCTCCGCTGGCATCACTGTGAGCTGTGTGAGGGCAAGCACCCCTTTTTGTGTTAGGTGAGGGTACTGGCCACAGCCCTCTCTTTGAATAGAAAGATGCTTCTTTTTGGTGGTGTTTAGTGGTAGGATGAGTTTCCGTTATTCCATCTCTGTTTTTACACAGATGTCATTTGTGACCAATTATTGTAGTGTTAACAGTGATATAGTGATAATAGCAGCACCTGACATTTTGTACTGGGCTTCACATTTTCTCAGGCACTGTAGCCCATTATCTCCTTTGACCTTATTAGCAACTCTATGTTGTTAGTAACTTTATCCTCATTTTATAGGTGACAGAACTCAGGCTGAGTGAGTCCTTGCTCAAGATAAATGATGGTGAACATGTTGGTGGAGCAGCCCCAGACGGGTGACTCCGCATCTTGTGCCCTCTCCGTTAAACCATAAGGACCGTGTTCATAGCTGTAAGGCTTCACACTAGGATTAGCCTGTGAGATGTTCAAATGTATAAGTATCTCTAATCAGATGAAATGAATAATGAATCCGTCAAACATGGGACTGGTGGGATGCCTGGGAGCTGAGGTGCAAACCCACAAATGACTGATGTTTCTGTCACTTGCTGTTCTTGGGGACAAAACTCCTGCATTGTCCCCTTGCCTTTTGGGACTGGATTTCCTTCATTTCTGTATGTAATTTAGCTCATGATGGGTGTGAGGCTACTTTGTGTTTTAGCCAAGAAAACAAATATGCAGGCAAATCTGTGCTCTTGAGTTGATTCCTAGGTAATGAAATCTTCGGTCGTTTGCATTCTCCAGGCTGCAGCTGGGTTCGTCCATGTGCGAGCACATGTGTGGGTGTGTGTGCGTGTGCATGCAGATATCCATAGCTTTGCTTCCTATTGTGTGGTATGCTCTGGGATGGTGCAGCCCAGGGGAAATTTGGAGTGTTAAAATTGTGATATGTGAGCACGGCTAACAAAAGATTCAAACAGGACAGAAAGGTAGAGAATCAAGAATAACATTTCCCCATTTCACTAAATCATGCAAAGATTCTTTATATACTTGATTGCATAAAAATTTATAACTTCTGTATATCAAAAACACTACACATTTAAATGGTAATGGATAAATTGAGAAAAAAATCCAATTGCAGCATATATAACCAGGAAAAAGAGTTATTATTCTTAATCATTACAAAATTAAGAAAAATTGGAACATTCTAATAGAAAAACGAGAAAGTCCTCGAAGGCCATTGCAAAACAAAGCAATATAAATGGTTTATAAACATATTTTTCTTTCTCACTAGCCATAAAAAAAGGTGACTTGATACTGAAATGAGATACCATTTTGTGTTTATCCAGTTAACAAAGACTAAAAATGAAAAGATAATGCTTAATATTCTCAAAGCTACAGGGACAAAGATACTCTCATACACCAAAGAGGGACTTATTAATTGGTATAATATTCTGAGGAACAATTTGCCAGTGTGTGTAGGTACATATATGTATATATATATATGTAGTTTGATATATTGTTTGTATATATATAGTTTGATAAAGCAATATACTTTCTGTAAATATATCTCTAATAATTAAAGATATGCATAAAGTTGTTTCTGCCAAAATGTTCATAGAAAGCTATTTGTAAAACTGAGAATTTGGAGGTATTCTAAATGCCAGACTGAAGAGGACTGATAAAATAGATTATGGTCCAGGGCAGAACCTGGGTCCTCAGTTCAAGTGAACTGATTGGAGTTCCCAATGGCATTCGACTAGGGAATAGAGGGACAGAGACCACAAAGACATGGAAGAAATCAATGAAATGAGAAATGAACATTAAATTGCAAGGACCAATGTGCTGGGTAATTGTTATGGATTGGATTGTGTTCCCCCCAAATACGTGTTGTAAACCCTAATCCCTATAGTGGTCATAATCCCAGCTGGGAATGGGTTTTCTTTGTTATGTTAATGAGAAAGTATTAGTGTAGGGTGTGTCTTGAGTCAGTCTCTTTTGAGATATAAAAGAAATTAAACAAGCAAGCAAGAGAGCAGAAATGGGGGAAGATAGTTGCCATGCCACATGAGATCTCCAAGGAGCCAAGGAATAGAAGCTGAAGAGACAAGGATCTTCCTCTAGAGCAGACAGAGAAAGAAAGCCTTCCCCTAGAAATGGCACCCTGAGTTTGGACTTACAGTCTTCTGTGAGAAAATAAATTTTTGTTAAAGTCATGCACTTGTGGTATTTATGTTATAGCAGCACTAGATAACTAAGACAGTAGTTTATATCTGCCCCTCGGGATCCACTTTTAGGCCCCTCCCTCCTGCTCCATGTCCTGGAACTGCATCTATAGACAGCATGACCTGGACTCCTGGGATGTCGGCCTCCAGTCGAATTCTCCCACTGGAGCAGGGTGGGGCATCAGATGACTAGGGGAGAGGGGAGTGGGCATTGGACACCCTGTCTCTGGCTTGGCAGTGGCTGTGCTCCTTTGAGGCCACCATTCCTGTCAAGCGGCTCCTCCCCATCGTCTGCATCTCTCACTTTGTCCTTGTGACTGCACGCTCCTTTTGACGTCTCGTGGTTCCCGAGTGGCTGGGTGCTTCATCACCCCTTGCTAGTTACCTGAACCCTACCCACACCTTATAAATCATTTATTAAATTAGCTTGAACAATCTCTTTGAGTGTGTTGCGTCTTCTGACTGATAAATATTAAAGGCAGAAGTTTGTTGTTTGAAAAAACTACCAAGGTGGAAAAACCACTGGTAAGATAGATTAAGAATAAAAGAGAAGCTGAATAATATGAATGCAAAAATGATCTTGGCTACACATACAGAATAATTAAAATATTAAAAAGATAACACAAATACTATGTACAACTTTGTCAATAAATTAGAAAACTAAGATGAAATTGCAAGTTCCTGGAAAAATACAATTTAATAAAACTGACCTAGGAAGAAATAGAAAGTCTGACTGTTTATTGAGTTTAATAAATTGAAACAGTAGTAGTTAAAATCTTTCTATATAGAAAACAAGCTTAGGAACGTTTACTGGTGAATTTTACCAAAGTGTAATTTAATCTTAAGCAACCTCTTACAAAGAATAGAATAAAAGAGGGAATACTCCTCAAATTGTGCTCTGAGGCCAATACAACCTTTATATCAAAGCTAGATGAAACAAACAGGAGAAGAAAATTAAACAGACCCATTTAACTTATAGAAGCAAATGTCCAAAATAAAAATTATCAAATTATTAGAGAAGAAG